CGCTCTCCTGCAGTGATGCTGCAGTAGAGCGACCTTTCAACATGTCCAAATGGGAATTTTTCCCCCCCCCCCCCCCCCCCCCCCCCCCCCCCCATCTCCTCTCCAGGCCTTAATTGAATCTAATGAAGCAGCACAAGCGTGTTACGATCAAAAAAAACAATCACCTCGCTGCTTTAGGCAGCAGTGCTGGGGTCAGAGGAGCACCTTAGATCACCAACATTAACAAATGTTTCAGGCTCTGGAGACTCAAAAGAGAGCAAGATGACTTTAGTCACAGGAGGCTCTAACTTCTACTGACCTGGTTGGGATCGCTGTGGCTCAACATGAGGTTGGATGCCTTGATGTCAGCATGCACATACTCGTGCTCATGGATGTACTCCAGAGTCTCCAGCTAAACAAGGAAAAGAAAAGCAGGTGTTAGTGCAGGAGGGAATGTGACTGTACTGGAGGTGGGCACAGGAAATGAATGATATCTGAGCAGTTTGGACAAAAATTCCCATTTTGACATGTTGAAAGGTCGCTCTACTGCAGCATCACTGCAGGAGACGGAAGACGGCGATCACGTGACTCATCGGGTCGCACAACTAGTGCACATTTCTTTCAGGCATATTCCAGTACTTTATATTCCTATTAAGGGGAGACACTGCAGGTGAATGGGGTAAAAACATTAAACACGCAGTCGATTACTTATATTAAGATGATTCGTTTTTGTTTCAAGTTGGGTTTTTTATTATATTTAAATTAGTGCTGGGCAACGATTAACATTTTTTTTTTTTTAAATCGCATTTTCTGCGATTAATCGCATTGTTATGGCAAAATTCAATAATTAATTCAAAAGTAGAGTATTGCTCACTTTTATTTTAAAAGTACTGCTATATGAACAAAAGTGCAATAACATTTGGTTTGCAAACACTTTAAACAAATAAGGTTATTTTTAACAGCAGTATTCCCTTTACACAGTAGCAGTTATAAGACAGTTATAATGATTCTGATAATAGATATTCAGCTGGTGTTCACAACTTTATCTTCATGTGTGTAAGAGATGCAATTTGGAATATACACCTTGAAAAATGCAAACCTATCTACGTCATGTTTTTTTCCTTTTTTTTATGTTTGTTAAATTCTCAGTAGCGATAACTAAATGATATGCTTATTATATTATTATAAAGCGCTACATCCATCCAGTTTTAATGTTTGCGTTTTGTCGCCTTGCCTTTAATTTGCTGAAGTTAATTGCTGCATATTGATCTAGTCACAGGTGGCCACCGATGGTTATCAGCTGATATTAATAATAATAAATAATAGTTTGATCCTTAGTCTGAATAAAGGACGATCAGAAGAGTCGATCAGATTCCGAACTGAAACATTTAAACAGTCCTTTGTCTGCTTTCTTGTCATGTATGAATGCCAGCTGTCTGTGAAAGCCATTGCAGTTCAGCGGAAAACACGAAAGCGAAATGAAGCCATGTGATGATGAAATAACCAACCAGTCGAAGACCGAGCTGCAGGACCAGTTTTCTGGGGAACCTCCTTCCACATTCTTCAAACTTCTTCTGCAGATCTGTGCCGAGCCGGTCGATGACCATGAACCTGTACCTGGAAGACACAAAGAACATACAAGCCCCGTTACTAAACCGCTGGTGTCCCTGTGTTATCTGCAGTCAAGCAATAGACGTGTGACACAGCACAGCAGCAGAACCTTCCAATGGACCGATCAGGCCGTAGCACCTCATTCGTTTCAGATCTGTCAGACAGGGTTCCTGCAGCTTAAGGCACATCAGATGTGAAGGTTTTTGGAATGGCTACATTGCTATTATTATTGTTGAGTAAATAATCAAATTAATTTCATTTAGAAAATAAGTCTGTACATCCAAAAGCTGTTAAATTAATAAAGACTTTAAATCTTTTCATGAACTACGACTCCCCCTAAGCCTGGAACTGTTCGCTTCCAAAGAAAAGTAAAAATCAGGAGTAGTTTTTGTCTTTTGTGGGACTATAAGTGCTGGACGATGAAACTAAAAGTGACCAGTGACACACGTTCCCCATGTGAATGGATCCTCCTGGTCAGAGCCTTACCTCTTCCCTCCTCTCTCATGCAGACCTGAGCCCCAGTACCTGGGAACGCCCAGAGTCTTCAACTTGTGAGACTTCATCCAGCTCTGAACTGCAGGACGAGAGGACATTCATCAGAAATCTTTGAGGCACTTTTTCTGGCCAAACTGTTCAGAAAGCATACGTGTAAATCTCTGAAATGTACATCATGTAAATCAAGGACAGCACACAGCTAACTGGAGCTGGTGTAAGTGGGTGATGGTTGTGATGCTCAAAGTAATAAGAGTATGATTCTGTTGGGGGGGGAGGGGGGCCAGAAAAAG